TCACGCTAGCCTTGCCTGTGGCAAGCATAGGCGGACTAATGACTTTTCATAATTATTATTGATTATTTATTGTTGCTGGCGCCGTGGCGCGCGGCCTGTGTGTGAAAGCTTTTTTTTTGTTTTGTTTGTCTTTTTTTGTCCTTGTTGGGGTGGGGTGGGGTGGGGTGGGGTAATAACGTTCATGTACGCTTTCTGAGCGACGTCATGCTACGTTGAGGTAGCGTTCTTGCACCCTTGCACATCTACGCTGTGCTACGTTGTTGTAGCGTTCTTTAGCGTTCTTGCACGCTTGCACATCTACGCTGTGCTACGTTGTTGTAGCGTTCTTTAGCGTTCTTGCACGCTTGCACATCTACGCTGTGCTACCTTGATGTAACGTTCTTGCTCTCGTTGTTGTAGCGTTCTTTAGCGTTCTTGCGCTCTTGCAAAGCTACGCTGTGCTACGTTGATGTAACGTTCTTGCCCGCTTGCGGAACTACGCTGTGCTACGTTGATGTAGTGTTCTTTAGCGTTCTTGCACGCTTGCATATCTACGCTGTGCTACGTTGATGTAGCGTTCTTGCTAGACATGTATGTGTATGTTAATGTAGACTGCCCGGTTACGATAGGACCATTATCTTTATCTTGAACATCCTCAAATGTATAACTTCGTTTATCTAGAATTCCCTTGCTGTAGACGATGACATCGACGACGACGACGACGATGATGACGATGACGATGATGATGATGACGATGATGATGATGCTGATGCTGATGATGATGATGATGATAAGATAATGCTGATCATGCCTGCGGCCCACAGGCCGCTGGCCACGGCGTGACCTTATTGTTATGGGGTTTGTTGGCCGTAGATTTAAACAATGTGAATTGTTGAAATCTGCATTTTTTTTGGGCACCACGCCATGCAGCCCATACCCCAGCAAATGGAAAACTCATCCGCCGCTTCTTTTCTAGATGCCTGCCATCTTTGGAGAATCTCGGACAAGGTCTGACACCTTTCTGGATATTGGAATTTTGAAGCTGTGCCATTTGGAAACAGGTTTGTCCCCCTTTAGGTTGCCTTGCAGCTGCGCATCTTGGACGCACGACAGCATAGATCCAACTCATCCAAAAAACTGTTGTAATTGCATCTGTCTTCGAAGCACGCTTAGCCACAAATAATATATGTATGCATATTATCGAAGGAAGAAATATGGACAGATGAAAAGACGAGATGGGAAGAGTCAGAGAAGAGAAAAGAAGAGAAGAGAAGAGAAGAAGAAAGAAGATCAAAGAAGAGAAATTAAAAGGAAAGAAGATTGAGGCGCGCAAAAAGGTAGGAAAGTCGCGATGCACTATGTTTTTCCAATGATTTTAGGCTCCGGACGGTCGAAAAGTAGGCTCGCTAAAGCGGCGGGTGCGGAGACCTGTGGTCAGATGAGAGATGCAAAGTGGCACTACGGCACGCCGTTGCGGAAACATGTCATGTTTGGACCACTTTTGGAAGTTTAGAGATGTCGAAAAAGTACACGCCGTTGTGGCGCGAAGCACATTGCTAAGTCAAAAGCGTAAAAAAAATTGAGGGGTACTGAGCACTTTTGGACGTTCACTACTACTACTACTCCTCCTACTACTATTACTACCACTACTACTACCACTACTACTACTACTACTACTACTCCTACTCCTACTCCTACTCCTACTCCTACTCCTACTCCTACTCCTACTCCTACTACTACTACTACTACTCCTACTACTCCTACTACTCCTACTACTCCTACTACTCCTACTCCTACTCCTACTCCTACTACTACTACTACTACTACTACGACTACGACTACCACTACCACTACCACTACCACTACCATTACCACTACTACTACTACTACTACTCCTCCTACTACTACTCCTACTACTACTCCTACTACTACTACTACTACTACTACCACTACTACTACCACTACTACTACTACCACTACTACTACTACTACCACTACTACTACCACTACTACTACCACTACTACTACCACTACTACTACCACTACTACTACCACTACTACTACCACTACTACTACCACTACTACCACTACTACTACTACTACTACCACTACTACCACTACTACCACTACTACCACTACTACCACTACTACCACTACTACTACTACTACTACTACTCCTACTCCTACTCCTACTCCTACTCCTACTCCTACTCCTACTACTACTACTACTCCTACTCCTACTCCTACTCCTACTCCTACTACTACTACTACTACAACTACAATTACAGCTACACTACATTATACTACAATGCACTAATTAAACTGCAGTACATTACAGCTACAAATACACATACAACTGCAACGACACTACATTACACAACACTACTACGCTAATTACGTTACATCACATTACAACTGCACGACGCTACATTGATTATCCCACGTAATGCTTATAACATGGCAAAAATCCGGGGCACGGTGCGGGGCAGCGAGGGTGGCACGGTCAGGGGCTGGAGATCAAAAAAGTAGGACATCTGGTGCTTGGGATAGCTCACTAGCGCGGTCTAATGCATGTCACAACTTGGAGATGATCCCTGGGTAGTGTTGAAGTACATCCTGGCAGAAGTTACTACCCAGGTACTACCCAGGAATCGACCTGACAGTTGCGCCAAGCATTATAGACGCCAAACCGTTTCGGTGACACTTACGATAAGCATTATAATTCTGCAATGCTTAGCATAACTGTTCCAGGATTCCTGGGTAGTACCTGGGCAGTGTCTGGGTAGTCCTGGGAAGTCCTGGGCAATCCTGGGCGGTTCTGGGTTAAGAATCTGATAGCCGAACCCCTTATGGTCAAAGGAACCCAAACTTGGACATTGCAAAAGTCAAATTCTATTTCCACAGCACTTTAGTTCCAGAACCATGAAAGAACATAGAATTAGCGCCCAGGAACCCAGAATTAGCGCCCAGGAACCCAGAATATGATTTTCACGTTATAAGCATTACATGGGTCAATCAAACGCTACACTACAACTACAACTACACTACGCTACAAGTCACGAGACTACACTACAGTGTGCCACGCTACAGTGCACAACACTACAGTACACTACAATACATGTCACTAGTTACACCACACCACACCACAACTGCAACTGCAACTACGCTACACTAATTACACTACATTACCACTACAACTCCACTACACGACAACTACAACTCCACTACACGACAACTACAACTACACCTACAACTAAAACTGCACTACACCACACTACATCCAGCAGTTGTGGTGAGGTGACCACTGCAACCATTGCAAGCACTCTAGAAAACACAGCTCCAACCACCTTTTCGTTCCATCAGTGGATACGCTCTGCCATCCGTGAGTCACAACAACCAACCCTTCCTATAGGTTTCGTATTTTTGAAACTTCCGCCACCGCCTTGTGCGGTACTACTGGTATATGTAAATAAATATATATGTGTGTATACACATATCTTGCTGTCTCTATCTGCTTATGTCATCTACCAGTTGTCTGGGAAAAAAGGCGTTGCGTTGCAATATGCCACACAATTTTTGTCAAAGGGTGTAGGATAGTATCCGACAAGTGATGATGTGGTTCTCGCATTCGCATTCAAAAAAGTTTGCGCTCAACCCTTGTTGAGCATCTTCGTGCAGCACGGAAATGGCTTACAAACTCAATGGCAGACGCGCATCTTGGACGCGCTGAATGTATATACGACCGGTGCCATGGGAACTCAGCTCTCATTGCCTACACAGGTTGAAGTTCTGTTCCTATGGGGCGGATATTTTCTAGATTTCATGTGTGCAAACTCATAAAATGACAATGTCCAAACACAACTTCCAAACGGTCACCGAACCTGAAGTGCTTTTAAAATTTTGACTTCGACATGCGCTTGGTGCCACAGCCGCGTGCACTTTTTGATGCCCACTTTGTCGACCTTCCCACAGCCGCGGATCACCCTTGAGCGAGTCGCTGGGAAGACAGCAGAAGACAGCAGACGCGCACGCAAAACGGACACCTCCAACTGAATAGTTCGGGCGGAATAAACGCGCATTGGCTTTGCGCACTTCCGTTGTTATATCAAAGAGTTTACTTTTCGACACTCCGGAACCGGAAAACATTGGAAACAACACAATGTTTCGCGACTTTTTCGACCTTTGCCTCTCCTGGATGGATTGGGTGGCGGGCGGGCGAAACCCGAAGCAGGGTAACAATTAAGTGTGATCCTCTCGGATGACCACTGAGCGAGTCGCTGGGAAGACAGCAGACGCACACGCAAAACAGACATCCCCAACTGAGTGGTTCGGGTGGGACAAACGTGCGTTGGCTTTGCGCACGCCTGTCGTTTGCAGATGTGGCTTTCTGGCTTGCCGCTTGCGGGCAGTGCTTGGACGGGCTTCGCATCCGTTTGCAAAGTCTTGCTTTAATTCAATGTCCACAGCAGGATCAATGATTTGCGTTGGATTGGCTGTGCAGATAGCTCCTGACATCCTTGTGCGAACCTTGCTGGCCAATGTCTTCATCCTTGTAAAGAGTACATGAGAACTCGGATTGCAAGGTGTGATTGTACATACGACATTCTGGTTTAGAGCTGCATGTCGCTGGAAAACGCTTTTTGACAAGGTTGTTACAGCAGCGAGGGTGGATCCTTGTAATTGAATGTGTTTTGTGTGGGAGAAGGTTTTCCCAATCTGTGGTTTAGTGGGTTGAGGAATGCAAGGATCAGCGGACACACTAAAGGTTAGCGTCGGTGTACGCATTGTGCTACGTGGCAACTTTTACGGATATATGCATATATGGCCAGCAACTTTATGGGGAGAAGCAGTTCGAACCATTCACAAATAATCTCCCATCGTCTGAACTCATGAATGCGACATGCACTGTAGCTTGACACGGCGCCATTCTGACTGCAACATGGCAGCAGTCACTATTTTCGTTTGGCCGAGATATTGGGCAAGGGTGTGTTTTCAAAAGGTGAGACACGGGCATGCTGAGGTCACTGGTCATCGGAGCATCGGAGCGAAGAAAAAATGGATCCAAAATCATGCAGGTCTGTTTCAGGCTCTTGAGACCTGGCCAAAGCAAGGATAGCATCTAGCTTGGTGGCCACCAATGCGTCATTCTCCAGCCAACCTGGGAGACGGTGCGCCTTGAAGTGCCGCAGATTGAACCTGAGGAAAAGCAGAGCACTCATGACGTTGAAGTATTCCAGCGTCATTCCACGGTTTGCATGCGGAAACTCTGCTAGGTAGTAGGACCAAACCCGCTCAACACTGACAGTGCCTGATTGCTGCGACAGCTTGGCAAGCCGCATAGCTTTGGACATGAGCCTCCAAGACCAAAGCCCTTCTTGACGAATCTTGCCAAAAAATCTGCGATAATGCAAGGCAACCTTCTGTGTCCAGCAAGTTTTCAGGCCCCGCACATATTCTGGCGCGTGTTGAGTCCTGGGCAAGCTCCGGTTGTAGCGCATGGTTTTCTTGCCTTTCCTGTACCAGCGAATGATGCGGCGAGCTTCTCGGCGGAAGGCTTGCGGAGAGGTCCATCCAAAGCCTTGAGATGTAGCATGCAGAGAAGCTTCAACTCGATTGGCAACACGAACCAATGTTCCGCGCGGCGGAAGGCTGCCCATGATGTCTTTCCATGTAGGAGACAGCTGCACATGGGGCAAGCCTAAGAAAGCCTTCAGCTCGCCCATGGCTTCAGCATATTTGGCTTTCTTCTCACGAAACTCCGGCTGTGGATCCACACAGGCACTCCGCAGTAAGCAAGCCGCTGCTTCGCTGAGCTCAGTATATATAGTTGGCACTGGATCTGATTTCAGGTTTGGCGGCTGTGGGCCAGAAAGCCTGTGCATCAAATCGCAGTGATCCCGTAGCAAGTCATCCTTGTCTGCTGCACGTCCGTGCAACAGCTTTGAAAGGTTGATGATATCGTGCTGGGGATCTCCAACGATAGTGCAACCTTGTTCCATCTCCTTCACTGGGATTACAGACCGTCTTTCAGCATCTCCTTTGCGAGTTCTGGCGAAGGATTGCAGGCGCAGCTCAGGCCAAGAGGCATGGTACCTGGCAGCAAGCCTGAACCTTTGGCCTCTGTAGTTGTCCGTCGCATGGAAGACGGGCACCGACTGCTCGATTGTACCTGCATGGGGGACAAGAAAGGTATGGTTAACGAGCAACAAGATGTCTGTGAATGACGCTACGACCCTGCGAAAAAAATCGTTGCTGTGTTGCTGCCAAGATACAGCCTGCACGAAGTCTGGCTAGTTTGATCTTGGCGAGCAGCGGCTGCAGTTGCGCATCTATATCTGCCCATGCTTCTGATTTTGCAACCCGAGGAGGAGCCAAGAGACTGCCGTCCAGACCTCGCAAAATAGTGTTTGCTGGTGAAAAAAGTGTCTATGCACTCATGTTTTTAGTCGCTAACGTGGTAAACACACTGAGACTTTTGGACCCTTGGCCTGTGAAAGCAAGGACAACCCTGCCACAGCGCTTCCTTTTGCCCAGGATCCACCTTCTTCGTCTTGCTCTCTGGCATGGACGCTTTGTAGCTCTGTGGGGTAAAACCACCCGTCGGGCCAACCCCATATTGCCATCATGGCGGATGCCTTGTGCATTGTAGAGAAACAGCTTTTGTTGGAAGGAGTCAACAATGTCGTCAAGGCAACGGCCAAATGCTTGAACCACAACATGGCGCAAGACCTTGCTCTTCGGTACGGCTTGAGCTTGCTGGAGCAGATTGGCTTGTAGAGAATTTGCACAGCAGATGTCCATAAGACTTCTCCGAACCTCGCGGCAATTCAGTTTGCAATAGAACTGCAGCAATACCTCCAACAAATACCTTTTGGTCATGTAATGCTTCTTCTCCTTGGGCGTACGGACGATGCAAAGATGAGGAAAGGTTTGCCTGACATCTTCATCAGTGAAATTGAAGTAGCTTGGCTCCGAATTGCTAGCCTTTGAATTTTGCTTGCATGTCAAACATCTGTATGGGCAATGTGTGAAAGACTTGCAATTTGGTATGTCCAGAATGACTTCAGTCCCAGCTCTGTCGCGCATAGGAATGATTTTGTGCCCGTGACGTTCAGCGTGCGCCTGGGCTGCAGCTGGGAACACATGCGCATCAGGATGGGCTGTGTCAATGGGCTGCTGGACGGCTGCAGTGGGTAGTGCAGGCACAAGAGTGAGAGCGCCACCCAGCTGTGTGCTGCAGAGCCGTTCCAATCGAACCTGTGTTCCCGACACTGCTGTGACAACCAGTTCCACCCGGAAATCGGTCAGACAATCTGCCTTCACTGTGGAGATGGAGCCCAGTGTCCAGTCTTGGTCAGCTCGGCGGCGAACATTGGCAATGTCTGCGTGCAGTTTGCCCCTCCTGGTGAAAGTGTCCAGCACGAACACCATGCTGCCCTGAAGCGTCGCAGTCATTCTGCGACAGGGAGCGTTGCTTGTCAGTGTTGGCAGGGACTCAGGGGCAGAGCGCTTAAAAGGATGTGTCCCCAAAATGCTGAGCAACACCGATGATGTACGTCCGCAAGCTAATCTTCCTGCCAGCTGTTCTAAGCTTTGACAGTGTTTCTCTGGCAGCCTTTCATTTTTTGGAGTCTGCTCAAAATCTGCTGGTGCAGCAGCAGGCTGCTGGCCCTCGGCACCATCGTCAGTCCTACTGCTGCGAGGCGTTGGGAGAAGTAATGACGGGCTCTGAGAACTCTTCTTGCCTTTGGTTGGCTGGGCTGAAGCTTTCGGTTTTCGCGGAAACTTCAATGCCCATTTCTGCACTGTGTTAGACATCTTGAGCCTGAACACTGGCAACTCGGCCACAGATCCTGATATTCCCTGATTGTAATGCAACATTTACAACACCGATTAAGCAGTCCTTGCAACCTGTCATACCATGTCATAACAATGCCTGTTTTCCCCCGCACCCCGGTTTGGCTCCGGTAGGCATGAGTGCCTATACACGCCTGTCGTGTGCACCCCACAAAGTGATGAAATCACGGGAAGTGATCCTTCCCAACCCCTAGGCGGCACCTTTCTGCCTCAGCTTCCTCAGTCAACTCCGCCAAGGCCGGCTTGCGAAGGGACAGAACAACTCTGGACGCCGCCACTTCCTTCTGTTCCCCGGCAGCAGGAGCATCTGCCGCAGCTTCAGGTTCTTCCGCGCCCTGAGCGGCTTGATTCTTGCGGCGCTTCTTCTTTGGCCGCATCTCTTTGCGGGGATCTTTGTCACAGAGCAAGAGGCCATGGGCCACAAGGCCGTCGATAGCTTTCAGGAGCATGCTCTTAAAGTCTTTGGCTTTGCGATGTTTGTGGCGAAGCTCCTCTCGCATGAGGGCCTGAGGAAGGCACGCAGCTTGCAGCAAAGGCAAGCCATGAACAAGGAATAACAAGGACTCATATTATTGGAAGCAAATTTTCAAAGTCAAGGCAACTTATTAGACTTGCATTACCTCGCAATGAGCAGCAAGAGTTTCTGCACAAGCTGACATGAACTTGAAACTTGTTGGGCCCAGGGGCTGAAGTGAACTCTCCACGAGCTTTCGGGCAAGATAGGATATCATGCTTCAGCTTGTCCTCTGCTGTTTCCAAGGCCTGTTGCTTGTAGTTGACTGGTGCGTCAGCATGGAGCATTCCGGCTGCCAAGCCACAGATGGACCGGTCGCGGTCGTTGAGGCCGAGGTTGCGTTCCAATCCACGGATGTAGCGCAGGTAGCCACACACCAAGAAAACTTGGCGCTCCCACTGCCAGAATGCTGCAGCCATCCTTGGTGAATATGATTCATGACTGGATCAAAGCTGAAAAACTTAGAAATGGGACACTTCACTAGTTTGCAGGCGTGCGTCTCGAAGTGATTCTGCGTTGCTCGGAGTGCACGCGGGTTTTTCTGAGGATAGGAAGAGAGCTGCTCGCAGTACTGTGCAATGCGCATGTTCACCTGAGCATACCTCAACATATCCGTTCCAACGAAGCCAAGTTTTGCTGACAGGTTCGAATCCACGTGGTGCTCATCCAACCAATCGTGAACCGCTCTGCGAACAGTCTGCAAGATCGTGGCCTGTGCGCAAAACACTTGACGTGGATGGATTGCGTGGTCATGATGCCTCTTCGGCGACAGTCAACAAGTAATCCACCAGAATCTATCTAGATGCGGTCCTCATGGGCCCTTGGAACTTTTCACAGACACTATGTAATGTAGTGGCAAGCTAGAATTTAGACAAGACACGGCATATTCATCTGGACCACAGCGAGAAGGTCGCGCACCAGGAAATCCAAGGGCAAAGTCATGAAGCTGGGCAATGAAACCTGTTGACATGCCAGCAGCCACGTCTGGGTCGACTGGATTTCTGTCGGGTGACCAAGCGACGGAGCACCTGCAAAGCAGGTAGCGACGTAGCAAGGAAAATGTAGCTACATGGGAACCAACCATGCATGTGACAATGCCAGGCTGAACACACATTAACAAGCCCCTTGCCTCTTGGGAAAGCCATTCGGCGTAGGGCGCAGCACCCATTCTGCAGCTTCAAGCTGTCCCCACAACTTTACCATAGTCTTGTAGGAATTGAGGCACATTCTCCCAGCTGCAGTGACGACGCTATCGTGCTCTGCTTGGCTGAACGTGTTCAGCTTGCTCTTTGAGAGAAAATTGATCCCTGCCGAGTGATCAGACCACGGAGTCTGCAGGGTGTTGGACAGCTCATCGGAGACACAGGCAAAGCCACCGTTGTTCAAGATGCTTGTGCGACACCCCTTCAAGGTTGCTTCAACCAGGTATGAATCTTTCATGGTGGTGTCCGCGTTCTTGCTGTTCTGAATCATGTGGACAGCAAAGGCATTATTCGGCGACTTCCTCGAAGAAGCGGCGCCGCCCAAGACAACCATAATGGCAGGCGAAATCTCATGGACATAGTCGGCTGCCACCACCTCAGGAACGGCTGTCTCCATGGCCTCCTTGCGCTGCTTCCAAATCTGCAGCGCTTCTTCTGTGCACTTGGAAAAGGCAGCAGGGGGGAAGTTGAGGTGAGCCCGCAGTGCTGCCAAGAATTGGTCATCATGAACACCTCGCAGGCTATTGCCTTCCTCCTCTGCCGTGTCCATGCAAAGCCCGATTGCATCCTCCAACTCCTGGTGTTGGCGGCGGTCTAAAATGGCTTCGATCAAGCCTTTGTGTTTGGTCAACTCCTCTGCCCTCAATTCCAAAGACTTTTCTATGGCACGCATCAACTCAGCCACTGTCCATCCAGAGGACAAGTCCGGAAGTTCATCCACGATTGCCTGCTCCACCTGCTCTCTACGCAGCTTCTTGGATGTAATGCCTCGCTTTGGCCACTGCAACTCCTCATCATTCTGGTCTGCGCTTGTGGCCACACGCTCAAAGATGGGGGCCTCTTCAAAGCTTCTCTCTGACTTAGCCACTTCCGGTGTAAGTTTTGTGCATCTATGCTCACAGTAGGCAATGTTGTTTTGCATACTCAGAAGGAAGCTGCCCAAGTGCCACCCATTCTTCAGGCACAAACGCTGGGAAGCTTTGTAGAACGGCGCAGGAAAATTGCGACTACCATCATAGTCCTTGGCCAGATCGGCAACACGGCACGTCAGAAAGTCCTGGCCCTTTGCTAACATTGGAAGCGTGGGAGCTTTAATGACCATGAGGTAACCGAGCAAAGTTAGTAGAATGCGGCCAAGGAACCGGATCAGCTGAAAGATCTCTGTGATTCCTTTCTTCCTCAGAATGCGCGCGGTCCAACATGCTGTGCACATAGCCGTAAAGACTGTCGACATCTTCAATGTGCTTGAACAAGGTCTTGTCCCAAAGAACCTGGTTCACCTGGTCCATGCTTGTTGCGCGTCCTGAGAGCGTGATACGCACAGCCACACAAGGGAAACACGGAACACAAAACCAGAAGCAGCTAACGTGTATGCAGCACAGGTTCTCAAATCAGCCAAAGAGGACTGGACAGGCTCGGAAGCTCCGGCACCCTGCCCGGGCACCTTTGCTCGCTTGATGTTAAAGCCCCAATGGGAAGATGCCAAAGCTGGGCCTTCAGCAGCAGGACTTCCTTGCCCAGAGCCTTGTGTTGGAGAAGAATTAGGTGTAGGCGGGGCTTTCTGTGTGGGCGGGAAAGGCGATTGCTCTTCGGCCTTTGCCTTGGTGCTGGGTGTTGGAGAATGTGGCCACTCTGCTTCTTCAACTGCTGGGCTGAGCCTTGCATTTTCATCCGGAAGTGCAGCCATGGCAGAGATTTCGAACTGTCGGGGGAAGGAAGCCAAAAGGAGCTAAGCGACTTGCAGACCCTGAAATGCCAATACTGCAAAGGCACTGTTCAAAAAAGACAAGACTTGTGTGTTCCAACAAAAAGACTTTCTGAACCTGTTCGCCACCCACCGTCATTTAGGAAGCGCTGCCTGTTCTTGTCTGCATTATTTTCGGATCTTAAATTTCCTGGTCCTCTTCACTTTTTCCTTTCCGTCCTTGTTCACTTGAAGTTACCTTGAGCCTCGGCCCTTGCATGGGGTTGTCTTGTCAGCGGCTTTCTTCGCCGCTTGTCTTTGCATGTTCACTGACGTGCCCAGTCGCGCTGGTAAGGAATATGTCTTTTCACCTGTGACGCGATACTGCCATCAGCCTACTACGTCAATTCTGTTATGTCTACTGGGACCTTTTGACTCCAACATATCTGATCGTCTCCACAGAATTCCACAGACAAGCTGCATGTATATCGAACCTGACCATTCTCAGAATGACCGCTCTTGCCCTGTATTGTTGTGTAGTGTGCCGCGTTCCCAGCCCCACGCAGTAGCCGAGTTTGCCTGTGTGTACCACACTCGCGAAGAAGTGGAAGAAGAATGGGGGGGGGTTCTGCGCCAGGTCCCCTCATATTATCATACGGAATGTGTGTGTGGGTCCATGGCGACTTGCATTGCAGAAGGAAGGCTGGCGTTAGCAAATGGACGAAATCCGGGCCGTCAGGACCGTCGAGCAGCTCCTATTTGCTCGTTCCCAAAAGTGGGACCGAAAACCCGCTGCAAAAACGGGGCCGCAATATTGCCGGAAGAAGGAAAGGCTTCCAATATGGCGGTCCCGTTTATGGGACCAGGGTGTTGCATACACAGTCAGCAGTGAGTAGCGGAGACTCTGGAACCTTTCGTTTGAGGGCACTTCGCTGAAGCCTTCGAAGATGCATGTATTAAGACTCGCCACTCCGTCCTGCAACTTGGGGTACCAAAAGAATACCCGACTCGGTGTCTTGTCAAGCATCACCTTCCCATGCAGCGACAGAGATAGAGAGTGATGAGCTGCTTGCGACGCACCAGCGCAACCCAACCAGGAAGTTCCTTGAAGGCAGAAGTCAAGCACAACCAGTCAGCAAGCCTCCAAAGGCCATCCATCGAGGAGCCGCGGATTGCCGATGCCAGCCGGGGCGACATACCCGCCAGACAAGGACGCACCAGGGCAACGCAACCAGGAAAGCAGAAGCCAAGCACAACCAGTCAGCAGGTCTCCAAAGGCCATCCATCGAGGAGCCGCGGATTGCCGATGCCAGCCGGGGCGACAGACCCGCTGACAAGGACGCACCAGGGCAACCCAACCAGGAAGGCAGAAGTCAAATCAGCGAGCAAGTCTACAAAGGCCATCCATCGAACACCCGAAGCAGCAAGTCGCCAAAGGCCATCCAACGAGGAGCCGCGGGTTGCCAATTGCCAGCCGGGGCGACAGAGCAGCTGACAAGGACGCACGAGGGCAACCCACCCAGCAAGCCAGAATTTAGCCAGCAAGTCTCATAGATGCCACCCAGTTGCCGATGCCAGCCGTTCACAGCACACCGGCGATCCGAATATGGAACATGTGCCGCAGCAGCCCCATCTTCGCTTGCAAAGGCACATGCGAAATGTGGCACTGCTTTCTGCACACAGCGAGCAAGTATGCAGGTGAGCTCCGCGACCATACTGCAACTTTGGCGTGCAAAGAAATACATGACCCTGTGTCTGGTGTCTTGTGTCATTGTTTGCACTGACGTGCCTGCCGTGGCCGCCCTCCATGGGGAGGCGGCGCACGGGGGAACAGAACATCAGTGAACCGAGCATGGAACATGCGGCTGCTCTATGTAGCCGCTCTTGCGGCGAGGCGGCACGGGGTATACCGAACCGAACCGCCAGGACTTTGACTTAGCGGGGATCGTATCGAGCACATCACCGAACCGAGCATGGAACATGCTGCAGGCTGCTATAGCCGCTCTTCACGACGAGGCGTAACAGACTATCACCGAACTGAGCATGGAACATGCAGCAACACCCCTATATATCTTCGTTTGCATCCTTTTAAGAGCGGACGAGCTGACTCTTGCAAGGGTTCGGTCTTGAAAAGTTTAAAATTGTGAGAAACAAATTATACCGGGTTGGCCGCATGTCTAACGCTTCTAGATCATATGCGTACACAGAAAATGTTTGGCTTCCATGGCGCTGCTGCGTCCCCAAGTCAAGGAAAAAAAATCAGGCCCATTCCGCACGCTCAGCTGAGACCGCATTGTAATGCAATGGCTCTTCGAGCCGCACAAGATGTCTCAAACCGTGCTGTCACTTGTTGCCGTTCCCTGTCGTAATAGACTGCAGCTGTACCTGAGTCCACAATGTGCTCATGGAATTTCCATTTTCATAGGATTTTAATCTTGCACCCGGCATGATGGATCTGTTGTGCATTTCAGATGTTTCAAGGCTGACTTCTGAGTCTCCTTAACACCATCAGCAAACAAGACGGGGCCTACCGTGAGAAGCAAAAGGATGCAAGGGCAAACAATGAAGAATGAAGCGTGTGTGAATACTTCGACCCGCCATTGGAAGGGACTTAGCGATAGTCTAGTTTTTTGATGGATTCGCAACGTCACGACCCCGTAAAAACAATGTATGCAGAAGATCTGCATGCAGTTGACCCTTCCTGTAACTCATGCGATGCATGCGGTCCAAGCACCGAAAGTCTGCAGTTGCCGTTCAACGGCGTCAGCGTTCTCCCGCTCCACAGCATCAACAATGATGCGCCGCCAAGCCTTATAGCTAGGACAAGAAAAAGACGTCTGATCATCATGCCATGATCATGTCTCCAAGCATGTCCTAATTCACTTTGCCTTTGGGAAACAAACGTCTCCCATGCAGACAGGAATCATTGGCAGACGGTTCTTCAACATTACCAGTACTGTAGCAGAACAAAGGCACCCTTTTCTACAGCTCATCCCCATGCTTTGCAAGGACAAGGAACAGCCAGACCCCAAAACTGCCGAGGCACTGAGCGCCCTTCTCCGTGCGATCGGCTGCGACCACGTTCTTGTTCATACCGTGCGTTCTGCCTCAGACAGGAAGCACAGCAACCCGGCGCTGAGGTGCTCATCATTCCACGTATACGTGTGTGCATCATCAGGGCCCCAAAACCAGAGAACCAGAAGCACGCAATGGATCAAGTGTTTGGAATAAATTGGCATGGCCAGGCACCAATCGTCCCAATCGGCATTACGCCACCACTGCCTGACCGGCGGCTGCTGCAACACGCCACAACCCCCAACACAATGCAGCATCATCCTTCCGTGTCCCCTATGTGAAGTGATAACATCCACTCATCAGTGTTATTGTGTAGGCATGCCTGGTCGGGCTGCCAATGTTTTGCACAGGGGAAGCTTTTGGCTCAGGCGGTGCTGCGTTGACCTGTGTGGGCATGGCAAACGCACAAAGTCAGTGCCATCAATTCAAAACAGTGATCTTCCCCGTGCAACAGCAAGAAGAAAACATCAGAAACATATGTTTGAAGCTCGGAATCTTTAAATTAGTGGCAAGGCAACGATTCACGCCAGCCAGGCGGCAAGGGTATACCTTGAAGGCGCCAGCCAATCGAGCTTGTCGTGCCATTCGCAAGCACCTTGGAAGCACGTGGCAGGCTCAGTGGCATGCTGCCTTTCGCAAGCTGCATACTACATAGCTCACATCCAGCCAAACAGTTGGAGCTTGAAGGTGATTAGGTGGAAGAAAAATGCCAATCAACCGAAAAGAAGGCTGGAGTCAGTGGCAAACCAATGCTGGAGACGAGAAACTCGGCGCTACTTGGATATGTTGGTCGATGCGGCAGGATACCACAACACCAACGGTAGCGGTCCCGTTCGATTGCTCCACCATGACTTTGCGGCCCAGCATGGCCATGGTAGCTGGAAGGAAATCGTTTTGTAGCCCTAGATGAATCTCACAGCTGCTGCGCTGTGCGAAGGTGTGTGTGTGTGTGCGTTGGAAAATGCAACTTGCAATACAAGGCTATGTCCAATCGAAAACACGTTGGGAAGATACTGGCTGGCAGGCTTCGAGCAGCGACGATGCCGATCAAATATGAAAAAATCCAAGACCAGTGTGCAAAACCACACCCGCGCTGGCAGTGGCAACAAAGTGTTCCAATAGGAATGTGGTCGCAAGTGTTCCGCAAAACATAGAGATATTTATCTATGTCTATAAACGTGGTATCTAAATCAAATATACAATACTTCCTTCTCTTTCTATACCACATATCCATCCATCCGTCCATTGCAAGTACAACATGTCTGTCAAACTCTCTGTTGGAGCAGCTATAATTATCTATCTTCTATCTTCTTATCCAACTGTTGCTCCATCCCAGCCATACATTGCTCACGCCCGAAAGGTACTCATTGAGTCAGCAGACCTCTTTTCAACGGGAGAACAAATGGGATGACCCACAAGTCCGCAGGGGCGCAAAAGGCCGCAAGCGTGTCATCCAGAACCATGCAGGGGCGCAAAGGCCGCAAGCACTATAATGCAAGGGCGCAAAGGCCGCGAGCGTGTGAGCAGGGGCGCAAGGCCGCAAGCACCAGCAACGCAAGGGCGCAAAGGCCGCGAGCGGGGTATCGTAGAACAGTGCAGGGGCGCAGGGGCCGCGAACACTTACAGTGCAGGGGCGCAGGGGCCGCGAACACTTACAAGCACAGGCGCGCTGAATGTGTTTCCCCCAGGCAGGGGCCATGCATGAAGCAATCTAGAGCACGGGAGCGGTGTGGAGCTTCGGAGCTGAGCAAGGGCGTCCCAGCATCGGAGCATCGGAGCGCAGAATGTCAACACAAGAGCAGCGGAGTGGAGCATCGGAGCATCGGAGCGGAGGGCTGCGCAGCGGAGCGGCGTGGAGGATCAGAGCCTCGGAGCAGAGGATTGCGCAGCGGAGCATCGGAGCGGAGGGGTGCGCAGTGGAGCGGAGC